AACAAATTTCTCTTCACCTTGCCGGTTCTTATTTCTTTCAGTAACTTCGGCAGCATTAACGGCTAAAGAGAAAGTTTCAGGGTTCATAGCAATCACGAACTCTCGGATAGAAGGTTTCAGACCCCAAATATATCTTTCTACTTTTCGGGATTCTGAAGATACATAATGTTCAACGAATCGGGAAAACTCAATAAATTTCTCAGTATATTCCCGCACAGATTTRCTCCCTTGCTCTAATTTAAGAAAATCTTCCTCCATTTGTCTTACTGCTGTCATAGGACAGAATTGTGTTTTAAATTTGCTCACAAATTCTTCCCAAGACATTGTTTGCAGTATATTTGGTTGTGTCGAGGATTCCACATCCCACCAATATAAGGCATTAGATTTGAGCATATATACTGCAAATCTAACCTTATCTTCTTCAGAACACCTACTAGTGCTAAATACTGATTCAATCTCTTTTATCCAGCACATTGCTTTAACTGGATCTCTTTCTCCTGAAAAGGTTGGAGGTTTACATGTCAGAAACATCTTTATATCGCGTCCTCGATTATTGTTGCCTGCTGAAGGAACTGGAGGATTAATTCCAACTCGCTCAATTTCTATTCTAGCTGGCAGTCCCATAATAGATATTAGAGTTTCCCTCAGTTTTCCCATTTCTTCTGTTAAATCATTTCTTGTTATAAACTCTGATTGTTGCCTTTGTTCCTGTTGAGCATTCCTAAARTGGGATTCCTYATGTTCAGAATGTATTTCGGTTTGACCCCTTCCATGAGACTGACTTCTTCCTCTACCACGTCCCCTTGGTCTTCCCCGACCTTTATTTCTGGACATGCTAGTTGGAAGATTAACAGGTGACTCTTCCCTTTCTTCAGATACAGGGCGAGCAGTTCTCTCTGACCTTCGTGATTGATTAGATATCTACAGGTATTTTAGTATTAAATATCACATATTCACATTCCCAAATATAATATGGTGTCCAAGTACAGTTATGTACCTATAAATTCATAATTACATTGGCCATTTGTAATTCGAATTCACCTTACATACTGTTCTCTTTAACCCATTATATTTTATTCCCAATGATACTAATAATGTCCGGGACTCTTAACATGCAAATGACAGTTTAAGTCTACGTATCATGCTGTGAATACCTAAATCTCTTAAAGTAAAGCTCTGATACCACTTCTGTAACACCCCCAAACACCACATTTGCATAAAACACATATTTCATTACATAGAAACATGGATTACATCAAAAGGTCCCACTAGTACA